AAAAACAAAGACAGAAAAAAATCATTTTTTCAATCATCTAAATTTGCCACTGGCAAACGGTAATGAATAAGAACAAAAATGACCTATTCACACACAAAATTTTTCGACCATCTTTTTCGAAATCATCATAATAATTGCTTTTCCTACCGTAAGTATTATGAGAACAAAATTCATTTTAAATCCGAAACAAACAAATAAAAAAAAGAAGATCGGATAAACAAATACATTTATCATTGATCGATCGATGTTTGTCAAAACAAAACAAATCTATTTATTGCTAAAATATAACGATTTTTCATTGAAAATAAAATTCACAAATAAAATTGACAAGAAAAAGGAAAATGATGCAAAAAAAAAATGATTTGGTAGCATTGTTCGATTCGTAAATCATACATTTAAGACAACCTAATACAGCGGTCGGGGAACCGGGGTAAATTACCCCAAATGGGGTAATGAATGAAATTTTCGGGGTAAAAATGAAAGTTTTGTGAGTAACAATTATATATTTTAAATTGCTATTTTATAAACCTGTAAGTATTTTTTCAACTTAAAGTTTAAGTTATAAACAATTTGCAGGTCACGCCATCTCACTTCTTACCATTTGCAACAAAAATCTAGTTCAGACCGCGAAAATTTGAAAAGGTCGATTACAGCGCCAACAACAAACTAAGCTGCTGGCAAGACGTCAAGACAAAAAATGACTTCAAAACATCGAACAAAATTTGATTTTTTTTAAATACTGACATAAATTTTGTAGATCAAATTTTTTTTATTATTGTAATAAATTTCTTTTTTTAATCAATACAATAAAATAAATTACTTTTTAAAATTTTTGTCCGCCACTGATTGTTTTCGGGTTATATTTTTAATTGTGAACCAATTATTATTTTCTGTCTCGCTTCAGATGGCAGAGAAAAGAAAAAGATCATACCAAGACCAATTCCTTAATTACGGTTTTACAGAAATAGAAGATAATGGTACAATGAAACCACAATGTGTTGTATGTATGAAGGTACTGACTTCAGAATCTTTCAAAAAAAGTCAATTGAAGAAACATTTGGATAGTTTGCATCCACACCTGTCTTCCAAACCGCGAGAATACTTTGAAAATTTAGAAATATCCGCTAAAAAACAAAGATTGAATAGCAGTTGGTTTGGTGCATTTGATCAACGTTCAGCATCAATGGCTAGCTTTGAAGTAGCCTGGTTGATCGCTCGAAATAAGAAACCGCACACTATTGGTGAAGATTTGGTTAAACCAGCAGCTTTAAAAATGGCACAGATTATGTGTGGTCAAAAAGAAGCGACAAAACTGAATTTCTCGAGGAAATGTTTTAAATCGAGTATGGATTCTAAAAGCTGAACTCGAAAAATTTATGGTTGATCGAAAAAATATTCTCGCAGATAAGTTTAAAAACCCTTCCTGGGTTGCATATCTAGCTTATTTAGCGGACATTTTTGAGAATATAAATATATTGAACAAAAAATTGCAAGGAAAAGATATTAATATTATTTCAGCGAGAGAAATAGTGTCAGCGTTTGGTTTAAAGCTGCAATATTGGATACAGAAAGTAGAACAGAACAAAATAGCTTCTTTTCCAAAATTATCTTTGTTTTTAGAAGATCACCAAAATATTAAGTTTTCTGACATCAAAGATGTAATTGTAAATTATCTCATCAAACTAAAAAAGAGATTTTCGGATTATTTTCCGGATATAGATTCAAATACAATAAGTTGGATAGTAAATCCATTCGAATGTGAAATTGCAAACATACCAGAAGAACCTTCAGGTTTGGCAGAAGAAATTCTCGAGCTTCGAACAAATACCGAAGCCAAACTGCAATTTGAAATCAAAAAAAATTTGACATCTTTTTGGATGTCAAAAGCTGCAAAAGCTTTTGCAATTGCGCATGAAGAAGCAACTAATAAATTGCTTCCGTTTGGCACAACATATCTGTGCGAACAAGGGTTTTCGAGTCTAATGAATATAAAAACCAAGAACAGAAATCGCTTAGACGCCGAAGACTGCATCATAATAGCTTTAACATCCATAACTCCTAATTTTGATGAAATTGTATCCAATATGAAGCAACACCATTTTTCAAAAACATAATTTAATTTAATTTAACACAATTATTATTTTGTATTTTGTAATCAGATAAATTAATTGACTTACCTTATTTCGACTAATCTGATCTAATTTTCTAATTATTATTATTTTGTATTTTGCTCCAAAATGATGTTTAAATTAAATTTTTAGTTATTTTCTTTTCAAGAGTATCATGGGGGGTTATAATATGAAAGATGTTAAAAATAGACGTTTTTTTTTTTTTTTTTTTTTTTTTTTTTTTTTTCTTCTTGGG